AAAAATACATAAGTTATTGGATACACAGTATTAATTAATATATATCACCGAATTCGTCCCAATGTGGGATGCAATTTTTAGTTTTTTGAAGCCACATCCTGGCTTTTGCCGAGCTTAAATATGGCCAAACTTCTGAACTGGGTTTCCGGGACCTCTCCACGGGTGATCTTCCTCCGCATTGTGGCACTTTGTGTCACCGGGTGTTTATCGCTTGTGTGATATCCTGGTGGGGTACACCTTACCTATCTATCTAAGATTAAATAATTATCTTAAGAAACTTCATCTACGACTAATAAAAATAGCATGATCTTTGATGTTCATATACCGAGGAGTGCCTTGATGCTCACACTTCTTATACTATATGGGGAAAAACACACAACAACAGAATAAATAATCATCTTCATTCGGAGATGGGGATCAAATTACACCTTTTATTAACAAAATGATCAGAAACTGCTGTAATTTAAAACAAAGGCGGGGAATATCCGGTCTGTATGGGAAGCTGAAATATTTTGGTCATATCAAGCGCCACGACGAATTGGAAACAATTTATAATAGAAGGCATGGTACCAGGAAGGAAGGGCCGGGGCCGACCGACACGAAGATGGGCACAGAATATAAGTGACTCCTTGAGTGTGAAAGTGCAGGAGGCGGGAGAACTGGCGAGAGACCGAGTTTTTTTTCAGGCAATCTGTGATGAGAGCGATGTTCGGCAAAGGACTTGCTACATGATGATGATGATGATGATGTCGTAAAAGATCAGCAAAAATTACTGTGTCCTCCTTTGCCAAGACAATCACAGTTAAATGCTGCAGCTCAATTTTCAAACTGATTGTTTCGTTTGCGACCCAAATATCGTTAAAAATACCTAATGGCCCGCGGCAGAAGAAAAAAGTTTTACCATCTCTGATTTAACAGATGAATATCCTGTGTCAGTTGCAGGTGTCAAAGACCAATCTGTAGCCCTTGTGGCATATCTTGGTGGAAATATTTTTTCCCCCGGTATAATCCATTTATTGATGAATCTCCCCCATGTATGATCTGTAAGATCTGTATTACACTTATGATTACCGACTCTTTTTCTTTGTAGGAATTTAACTTTAGGTAACTCAAACAGTCGTTGATATAACTAAATGTTGAATGTCATAGCATTTGGGACATTTCTATAAGCGCGCCGTCTTTATCTTCAGCAGCAGGTGAAGAGTTTCATTTCCGATGACACCAGTAATAGTCTTAGAGTATATCGGTCTCACCGTTCTCTTGAGTGTTGAGCGTCGGCCAGATCCCCTGGTAACTCCCCGCAGGGCCATTCTCCTTAGACTCCCCACTGTTCACTCACTCCAAAGAACCCCCACAATATCAAGTTTTGTCATTCATCTATTCACCACCAAGTATCGCAGAGCCGGCCGGTCTATCTGCTGCTTGTTTCCTAACACAGAGGTATGACCTGGAGAATATTTCCAAAGACATCTGAAGCGAGGCTTGCCACTCTAGACAGGTTATTCCAACATACCGCGATCGAAGCCCATTGCTAGCTGCGTGGAATTTATCTTGGTTTGGGGTGTCGCAGGTCGACCCAGGCTAAAATGGGTACCAGGATGTGTGTCCTGGGGAAGTAAAGAGAGCCGGCGTAATGCTGACCACATTACCCAATTACTGCCGATGGCTCTGTAATAATATGAGTACTGTTCCCATTTGCCCAATGCGCCCAAGGCGTGAAAAAAAATCTTTACTTATAGGCCAACTATGTGTCGCACATTCATACACATATATCAATGGTAGAGAACGTGGTCATTTAGACATAATGGAAGCAGAACTAGAGGTCGAACCAGCAAGAGCGGATAGACGAAATACACAAAGGCTCGCACCTGATTCCTTTTCAAAACCTGAGGTCAGGGCTAGAGATAAAAAAAAGTTCCCTGCCTCAATGGCCGTTGTAGTACCTAGAGTATGCACGTAGTTTGGGAATCCCTGCACCTATAAAATCTGTCCCAAGAGAGAAATCATCGCAATAGGGTCATGGTGTGATAAGGCAATACAGAAGTCGTGGTACCAATTAACTATATAAATACAAACTACAATTCTGAACTAAACTAATAATGATTGCTAGGAAACCATTTATAGCTTACTTACTTATCGATTCTCTTCTAGCCTCTGGGTTACAGTTTTGCCAGAGAGATCGCCAGACTTCTCAATCAGACGTTTGTGTGTGTGTGTGTATGTGTGTTCGTGGGTGCGCACACGCCTGTGTGTGGATATATATGTGTGTGTACGTGGGTGCGTGTGGCTTTGATCTTTTCCAGTCCTCTACCAGTCAGGGACTGTTGGATGTTGTCTTCCCAGCAAACATCTAGGTTGTCCTGGAGGTCTGGTTCCCTTCCTCTTTACCTCCTATGCCTGCAGCATTTCTTAGCCAACATAACTTGTACAAAGAAACCAGACCACAAATATAACCAATACTGCAAGTAGTAGGTTGAAAGTGTAGATTCTATTATTTGTT